TTCATTAGGTATTTAAGAGTATACTTGTGTAATTCATTTTGTCTTCTTAGTAGATTGTTTTGTGGCTTTGGCCCATGATTTTTTTATCATAATTGGAGGCACTCAAATTTTGATTTTTCCACGTTAAAATTGTTGTGTCGATTTGTTTTGATTGTTTGATTAGGATTGTTATCTACTGCTTAAAATTGATACATAATCACAAATCAATATCTGGGGGATTTCTAGATTTTTCACTAAAAGAAAAAAAGTTGCCTTTCCCTCTCAGTTTCTTTTCTCTTGTGTTATCTACTATAACCAAACAAAAAGTGGGATTGCGTTTCATTTTTCCTTTTCATTTCACACAAAATCCTCCAACCAAAACAACCTTATTAATAATCTTACTAAAAACATTTATGACCAAATATCATTGGATGGTTAAATGTTATTATTTTTTGACAATCAATCATATTTGATTTCTTATATTTTTAATAAAATTATTAAGGGGCAATTACTTAACAGTTTGATAGAGAAAAAAAGAAATTACACAAATATGAAGGGATGTAAGTGAGACTTGTATCCCCATACCTTTTTACTTGCACCCCACCACAAATTCACCTACACTCTTTATGTTTTTGTAATTTTTTTGGGTAAATTACCAATAGATCTTAATAGTTGATGTAACGCCCCGAAATAAATGCAATAAACTATCCAAGACGATAAGTAAATAACAATATGAATCAAAGTATGATGTCCTTCTATTACATGAGATTCGGTTATACAAAAGGTTGACACATGTGATATATATTCATAAATAGTACATCCTAAATCTGTAGTGTAACGCCCCAAATTTCTAACCCAAATGATAATACAACAATCATGGCTCTTTCAAGGAAAACCGAATATGAATCTCCAAACTTACGTTACATGATACAATAGTTCTTCATGCAACAATACATTAATCCAACAACAAGTAAATAAACAAATAAATACCCCCAAGGGTTTACAAGTTTCCAAGGCTAGAGTCTGGTTACACAAAACGGTTATTCAAACCCACACAAACATAGCCCTTGGTTTACACACAGAGTCACAGCAAAATGAGAGCATTGTGCTCCCAACACACATACTTCCACGCCCCTAGTTGGGTGGGATCACCACATCTTTTCCTACACAAAAATCCCATAGGGTGAGTATAAAGCCCAGTTGGAAATCCTGAACAAAGTATATACATTTTATACAAGGCTCAAGAGATGAAATGCACATGCCATGCTATGTCCCTTTTTGAAGATAAATCACATTTTCATCTTTTGAAAACCACTATGCTCAATGATGTCATGCAATTTCAATTGTTCAAAACTTAACAATTTATTTCAAGGGCAGTAAATACGACTCTGGTAATTCCTAGGTCGGTGTCTGCAAGTAGACTATATAAGTACTATCAAATTATCATTTTTACCGGTATTAACCAAAAGGCTCGACACCTATCCACACGGGTATTCGGTCTTTCAACCCGGACTCTCAGGCCAACTTATTCAATATCATCTACACACCTATCAAGACTTACCAACGTATTTACCCCAAAACTATTTCATGAAAACTTGTTTCTCAACATTCTTTTCTCAATGCAAGTTTTCAAACCAACTTTCAAAGTTTAATGTAATCAGATGAATTGTTATGCTAATAACACAAGATGAATATAAATACTTTTATTCCAATTCATCGTCCAAGGAATAACACAATTCCCTCTTCTCAAGTATCCTCAACAATTAGTCATTTCAAGACTATTTCAACGTTTTGAACAATAATTTTCAAAATGAACAACAATTCTCATATTCCCTGAAATTCATCATTTATATAAACATAAATAAGAAATTTTCCAAACATCCATTTATTTTGACACACAAAATAAATACAACAATATCATTCATGAATTTTTAGTCTCTTTTTAAAAAATTTCCAAAATCTAGGTTTTCTCACCAAAACTATACAACTCAAATCCTTTGAAAGAAAACTTTTCAAAATCATCTTTTCTTCAATCAACAAAGATCAAAACCCATAAGATCATTTTAAAAGAACAAGAGACAAACCCACTTTCAAAATATCTCAATTTCTTGAATCAAAAATCAATTTTCAAAACTATCAAAAGACACTACTACAAATATAGATAACGATCACACTTTTTTGGTGTGATGTATGTTTTTTAATCACACCTTTTAAGTTTTATTAAAGAGTGGTCTTTAGGAGTGTGATTAAAAATGGTGATTTTTAATCACACTTTTTAAGTGTCATTAAAAAATGCTTTCATCACATCTTTTAAGTGTGATTAATAATATTTAGATCACACCTTTTAAGTGTGGTTAAAAATATTTAGATCACACCTTTTAAGTGTGATTAAAAACTTTAGTTCACACCTTTTAAGTGTGATTAAAAACTTTAGATCACACCTTTTAAGTATGATTAAAAACATTTAGATCACACCTTTTAAGTGTGATTAATAACTAATAAAACCTGTGATAAAAAATTTTTTTGACATATTTAAAGAATAATCAATATTATTTTTGCACGCGCATTTGAATAATGTAATACACACTATATATTATATTTTGAATCACAACCATATATTGAATGAAATAATATCATATATTTCATAAATGAAAGTTAAATGTTTAAAAGTATATACAAAGAAATTAATAAAAAAAAAATTAACTGTGATTACATACATTAAAAAATAAAAAATAAAAAACTTGAAAAAAGTAAGTTCTTGAATTCTTTGACCATATTTTGCATCTCTCCAAGAAATTTCTGACCTGAAAAATAAAAAAACAAATTAATTTAAAAACTGCCAGAAATATATGAATAAACTTACTAATTAATTTATAAACTTACATTTAGATCACACCAAAAATAATGTAATTTATCCAGTTGTTAAACTGCCCCCAATCCTTTCCCCACAGCCACCAAAAATGACATAATTATTTTGATTCTCCACACAAATATCAGTAAAACAGCACCACAAAAGAAGACAATATGCAACAATGCAGAAAGGATCACATAAATGATAAAATGGAGTATTATATGGACAATCAAAATCATATGATATCAACATATAACTCACTAAAAACTATAAAGCAAATAAGGATCAATAAAGCTTATTGGTCTTAAAAGCAGAAACCACATAGCCTGAATAATTACAAATTGGTATGGGAGCAATCCAAGTAGAGGAAATAATAAGAGCCCAGCACACTAAATTAAAAAGAAACAACTTGCATACAACCCCCTTATCTAAACCTTCAGCTCCCTAATTTAATAACTTGAGATGAAGCACATCTTTATAGGAATAGGATCAGCCACAGATAGATACTTTAAAGATTGTAACTGTCAAAAATACGAGAATTATATGATTTTCAACCATGACAAAATACTCTATTGAAATAGCAAATTCTCCACAATTAAAGTCTATCCATGTAAGTGACAAACAATAACAGGTCCTTACTATCCGGCACTTCTCTCTGTGCATGTCAATGAAATCCATCACATACAACATATAAAAGCAATTCACAAAAATTGAAGTAGGAGACTTGTAATTATCAATTCATTCAATTAGTATATCTTAACTCTTATATGAACCCAATTTTCTGTTGGACCATGACATTATTTGCTGAAATCATATTTTTTTAGGCAGAAAAAGTAGCTCATACGAATCTCATCAACAATATCATATCTTAGATTCTGCACCATGCACCTCAAATACAACTTAGGCCCATTTGTGAAACCAACTTTGGAAGTATACCAATGTCAAGAATTAACAATTATCTTGCTATGTTTTAACAGTCTTAGACCATGCAACCTTGCCCTTCAGTGGGGGCAGGATGGTTAAAATAGTATCCAAAATTCACATGTTTTGAGTTCCTATGCTGCCTTGACAAATTCACACTGCAGCTATGATGTGGTCAAATAGCTATACCTCTGGATGATTTGTTATGACATCAATTGGTCCAACAGTTTAAAGTATAGAAATACTGAAGCTCAAATTTTAACAAAATTATAGTTTGCCTTTGAATTTGAGCCCTATCAAATTCTCGTCAGATCAATACAGCCAGTGCTTAGCCTTAACACTGAACAGATTTTAGGTAGGCATGCCAAACCAGCCATTTAAATAACTTATCTCAAAAGAAGAAAAATAGACATTCAAAGACTTTAATATATATATATATATATATCTAGAACTTATTATTTGTGTTAATTTTCAGTTCAATGAGTTAAGGAGGCAACCTGAATCAAAACCTATTATGTTCAAAAGTGAGTAGAAGATTACTTGAATGCAGCCCACCCAAAAAAAAAAGGTTAAACTACATGCTTACTTTAGGCAGTTCTGCAGGTATAAAATAGTATTGCCAGCTAAACATAAATTCAATCCCACAATAGACACTGCTACTGCCATTTACATAAATCTAGTACATCACAAAAGTGACCAAAATGGCAATTGGGCTTCAGTGTTCAAGGCCTACACAAAATGCATTTACACCCAAAAGGTTGAAATAATGAACTAGCATAAATGACCTTACCTTTTCGTCAGCAGAGTACTTAGTGCATTTGAAATAAAACCTGAATATTTGGATCCCCAAGTATGTCTGCAAATAGTTTTAACATTTCAGTCAGTTCACTGAACAATAGTAATACATATATCATAATCAAAGTCTAAAAAGGATGTATTTTACCGATCATAGAAACAAGGATAAATAGAGTGAAGATAACAATATTATAACCATAACAAGGGTATCCATCTTTCAAACAGCATAATGTTGAAATTTCATCCAATGTCTCCTGATGCTGTTACATAGAATATGTTCAGTCAGGACATCATTTCATCAGGTTAATCCCTATGTGAAAGTAGAAAAGATAAGGTAGATGGTAAAAATCTGGCATCTAGAATAGTAGTAGATTTGTAGTGACAGTACTGGGGGTACATTGAATCCACATAAAAATATGGTTGCTCTACTTAGAAAGTGTCTCTAGATTTATGATCAATAGTTGCCTTCTTCCACAACTTGTGTTAATCCTCTAACCTCAATTGGAGACATCTACCATTTGTCACTAGTTAGGAAATAATAGGTGACCCATAGAAACAGGGGCAGAATAATAACTTCTAATAAAGACAAAACAGAGGGAGATCCTGAATTTTTGTGCAAAAAAACTTATATGGGATGAACTATGACAATGTTTAACTCAAGGAAATTGAAAAGGAAAAAAACACTAGATTATTGATTTCATTAGCAAAAGAGAGGCTTGAGTAATTGAGCGAGTCATCACTACACATGTCCCAAACTTACTGTAAATGTATGTCGTTGTTTGGCAGCACCATAGCTTTCCTTGACAACTCTCCCAGCAATAGCTCTCTTTCCAAACCTGTTTGGATATAAACCTGTTCGAAATTAGCTCCTTCATTTACCGAGCAAATATGATTTACAAACTACGATGGAAATCAAGAGATTCATATACAGAAGGAAAACAAGAACTGAAACCAGTGAGTTACTTCTTGTATACTTTCTGTGTAAACAAAACAACATCTCCTTTGCAGACATCACCTGAAAAGAGAATCAAAGAAGCTTTAAATTTTCAAAACCACCTTGAAGTGAACAAAAATAGTGCACTCAAAAGAAATGTACGTACATAAACCTTTACCAGTATAATTGATGGCAAAGGATGATCTAGGATAGAGTGTTTTAGCATTTCCATCTTTTATCCTGAGGGTTAAAAATCATACAATAAGGATACTCTTATGCAAAAATAGTATAAAGCTACAAAAGATATTAATACCCTTGTAGAAGCCAAAATAAATCATCAGGGCATGAATGATTTCAAACTTTCTTAAGCTAGAATAATTTAATAATAAAACAAAAAAGTGATCTAAAACTCAAGATATGCACTTGTAGCAAAAGACAATATTATTTGAGAAACAAGACATTTAATAAAAGATTAGATACTAAGCAAGACACAACAAAGAGAGTAGGGGTAATATGTATACATCCACTCACTTATAGATCAATGTATTGTGCTAGTCTAAAACAATACAGTCTACACCATTCAAGTTTTTTCGGTGTCACTTATAGATCCACTCACTTCTCTCAAATTATTTCCCAACAAAATACACATTAAACTCCCCTTGCTATTTTTTTGCTTCTTCAGAATCTTTGCTAATTGAATCTAGGTGTGAAATGATATACATAAAACTATGACAAACTCTAGTTCTATCAAACCTTATGAACAAAGTTTCCTTATATATGCCTAAAACACAAAATTATGAAACACCAAACATAAGCAAAATTAAAGCAATTATAGCAATTATAGTCCATTTCATTCCATATTACACCAAACATAAGCAAAATTATGAAAATCAGATTCCAAAGTAGCAAAACCAAACAATACCAAACAATGTCATTGAAATCTCAAGTTCATTTTATTTGATACAAGACACCAAAAACACTAGTCGAAATTATAAAATGAAGATCTCTCTTTTATGACCAAAACTTGTGGAACAAAAGTGAAAAATAAACAAATAACATAACAGAGCAAAATTAAAGCAATTATAGCAATTATAGTCCATTTCTAAACCTTTTTTTCTCCTATTTTGTCAATCTTTATTTTGGACCTTTTTAATAAAATATTGAATTCCTTTAAACAGATTCAGATTAATAAAATATTAATAAAATATAAAATACAGTCACAGATTCAATTAAACAGATTGAATGTAAACAGATTCAGTTTGAATGTAAACAGACACAGACTAACAGACACAAATTCATGAAATTAACTGGGCAGTGAGTGTTCAGCTGAAGCACAATCATAAAAGAAAATTTATTTACTTACCAAGTTGCCCAACTCTGAGACTAGTTTCTTTACTGTAGGCTTGAATTGCTAAATGACTAATCTCTGGTCACAAAACCTTGTGTGGAAGAATGAGATGAGTACAAAATCAGCATTTCCGTTTAATATTTTTTCAAAATTCAAACTATAGGAAATTCAAAACAAAAAAATAGAGAAATAAAAAAATATAGCAAATTCAAGCAGAGGAAGATTGAAAATTGAGGAAGGTAGCTGGAGTTTAATATAAGCCTCTAATCTGGGCTAGTAATACTTATTTGAACATTGCGTGACTTTTTCATGACCAATATGGCATGGAGGGCAACAAATCCACTAAGATTTAGCCTGTTCATTGTCTTTCCAAATATATAATGAACTTATTTTTTTTGGGAGCCATCAGTGATCAAGTCTTCTAAAAGTCAGTGGTCAAGTTTCCCTAAATGTTTTAACTATGAAAGCACTCAACAAAATAGTTTTCTAACTATAGTTAATCATGTTGCAGGTTTTTCTTCAAGTTATGGAGTGCTTACTCAATCGTTTATTACCTCCCAGAGGCAAATCGTTTGCTCGAAAGTCAATTCCCTTCTGAAGAGTACCACCACCATCCTGTAAACAAAAAAGCAATCCTCTGCTTGAAGCATCTCCAAGTGTCGGTATAGGTGAGAATCCTTGCATTTGATGATTTTTGAAACAGTGTTCAATTGCTGCCTGATTCCGACCTCGTCGAGCCGGAAATTATGCCGAGCCTTCCTCATGAAACCAACAAAGCACCAGAAAGCCTCATGGTCCTCCAGTATCACAGTTATTATTGGAGAAAGTAAATCGCTCATCCCTTGGCAGTATCCAATTTCAGGGTCATAAAGTGCATAGGCTTCAAGGATGGCGACTAGTCGAGCAGCATGGAAGACCCTGGCAGGCTCCAGGTGATCGTAATCTTTTAACGCAACAGCCTCAGCAGAACGGTGTGCCCTTTCTTCGGACACAATTAGATGCCAAAACAGATTCAATAACAGACACAATATGAATTCCACAATTAGAGACCAAAATTATTCCACCTATTTTTTCTGATTTCAGATTTAATAACAGACACAACACAATTAATAAAACAAAGAGATTCAACTAAGACACAACTAAGATCAAAACAGATTCATATTTACATTCCAAATAGAGGCCAAAACAGATTCATATTTACAGATTAATAAACAGATTCATATTTACATTCCAAATAGAGGCCAAAACAAACACAGAGAGTGAGTGCGAGAGTCGATCGGTGTGCCAAAACAAACACAGATTAACAGACAGATTCATATTTACCTGTGTGTGAGTTGATCGGTACAGAGATGCAAAACCAGAGAGTGAGTGTGAGACTGATGAGATGAGAGAGTGAGGGAGCCGATTAGGTCAGATCAGAGATATATATATATATATATAAAACAAAAAAAAAATCAACGATCTGGAGAGAGAGAGAGAGAGTTTACCCGTGAGTAGATCGGCTGTGCGATGATGATCGGTGCGATAAGATGAACAACGAGAGAGTGAGAGGGTGATCGGTGCAGAAACGAGAGAGTAAAAGAGACAGTGATGTTGAGATTAGGGATTTTGGTTTTGCGCCCGAGAGGTGGGGGGGATGGCAAAAAAATAAGCGGGAATGAAAAAAAAAAGAGAAGGAGACGGGGGTGGATAAAAAAAAATTAAAATCTTTTTTTTTGGGGGGTCACAAATAAAATTTAAACAATAAAATAATACCGTTTAACTCTTCTTCTTTTTTTTGTGACGCGGGTTGCTGTCGTTAAAAAAATTTATTTTTTGTTAAAGTAAATTTTTTTATAGTTAATGAAAAAAATTTCATTTTTTTTTAGTTACTAAGATTGAAAATTTATTTGTTTCATTTTTATTTTAATTAAAAAAAATATTATTATTATTTTTTATTTGGTAGAAGTAGGGGTAATATTTTAATGAAAAATATTTTCCACTAAAATAAAAGTTTATTTTCTGTAGTCAATGAAACATATTTTTCTACGGCCTATTTTTTTTGGTTAGTAAAAATCATGAACTAATTTTTTGTGGTAGAGGAAAGGTAGCGACATTAGTGGTGGAGGTGGTGGATAAGAGATGATGGTGGTGGTGGTGGTGATGGCGAAAAATATTAGTGGTGAAGTTGTGGTAGTTGTAGTGTAGATGGAGTGGAAAGGGTGAAGGAGAGGTAATGGTAGTATAGTAGCGGCAGTAGTGGAGTGGTGGCGATGGTAGTAGTAATGGTAGTCGTAGAGGTGAAGTGGCGACAGTGGAAGTAGTGGTGGTGGTGGAATGACGTTTGCAGTAGTGGTGAAGGTGGTAGAGGAGATGGGTGGTGAGAGAGAGAGAGAGATGAGTGAGAGGCAGATAGAAGAGATAGAGAGAGAGAATAGAGCGGGAATGGAAAACAAAAACAGGCGGGAATAAAAAATATTTTTTTTTTGTTAGAAATGAAATTTAAATAACAAAATAATGTCGTTTAACTTTCTTTCTTTCTTTTTTTGCGACGGGAGTTGCCGTCGTCAAAAAAAAATATTTTTTGTTAAAATATATATTTTTTTGTAATTAATGATTTTTTTTTCTTTTTTTTTTGTAGAGGATAGAGAGTGGCAGTAGTGGTGAAGATGGTGGATAAGAGATGATGGTGGTGGTGGTGGGAGCGGCGAAGGAGATTAATGGTGAAGTTGTGGTAGTGGTAAAGTAGATGAAGTGGCAAGGGTGAATGAGAGGTAATGGTAGTAGTAGTGGCAGTAGTGGTGAAGGTGGTGGATAAGAAAGAGGTGGTGGTGGTGGTGGTGGTGGTGGTGGCGAAGGAGATGAGTGGTGAAGTTGTGGTAGTGGTAGAGTAGATGAAGTGGCAAGGGTGAATAAGAGGTAATGGTAGTAATAGTGGCAGTAGTGGTAGTAGTGGCAATGGTAGTCGTAGAGGTGAAGTGGCGACAGTGGTAGTAATGGTGGTAGTGGAATGGCGTTTGCAGTAGTGGTGAAGGTGGTAAAGGAGATGGGTGGTGAGAGAGAGAAAAATGAGTGAGAGATAGATAGAGGAGAGAGAGAGAGAGAGAGAGAGAGACAAAGACAGACTGATGAGCGAGAGAGAGACAAAGTGGTCGCTAAAAGTGCTTTTTCTTGTAGTGGATAGATAAATTGAGAGGGAGCTCAGTAAATAGAGAAGACAGAAGGGAGAGAGTGAGCGACGCGAACATAGTGGGAGAGAAAGAGAGAGAGAAAGAGAAGAGAGAGAGAGGGACAAAAAGATAGAGAATGAGAGACAAAAAAAGATAGAGAGAAAAGAGAGATGAACGAGAGAGAGAGAGATAGAGAGAAGAGAGAAGAGAGATGAACGAGAGAGAGAGAAGAGAGATGAGCGAGAGAGACAGAGAAAGATGAGAGAGATAGAGAGAAGAGAGATGAGCGAAAGAGACAGAGAGAGAAAAGAGATGAGAGAATAGATAGATGAGTGAAAGACACACAGAGAGAGAGAGAGACAGATAGACAAAGAAAAGAGTGATGAGTGAGAGAGAGAAAGAGAAGAGAGAGAGGAAGATGAAAAAATGGGTGAAAAGATATAGACAAAGAAAAAGGGAGAGACAAAAAGAGCCAAAAGAGATAAACGAGAGAGAGACAGAGAGAGATGAGCGAGAGAGATAAAGAGAAGAGAGACAGAGAGAGATGAGACAGATAGACAGAGAGAAAGAGACAGACAGACAGACAAACAGACAGACAGAGAAGAGTGATGAATGAGAGAGAGAGAGAGAGAGAGAGAGAGAAGAGAGACAAAGACAGAGAGGTAGAAAGATAAAAAAATGGGTGAAAAAGTTCCGTGTCTAAAGCCTCATTTTCTAGTAGTGAGTCATCTCTATCATTCATGGGTAGAATAGAGGCGCGGATTTGGGAATTGTATATTTTATATAAAAATCAAATTGAAATATTTTATACAATCACACCTATTTAGGGAGTGTGATTAAAAAGTAGTAATGTATATATAATCACACTTTAATTAAAATGTGTGATTAAAAAATATATATATAATCACACTTATTTAAAAAGTGTGATTAAAAAGTAGTAGTGTATATATAATCACACTTTAATTAAAAGGTGTGATTAAAAAATATATAAATAATCACACTTTAATTAGAATGTGTGGTTAAAAAATATCTATATAATCACATCTATTTAAAAAGTGAGATTAAAAAGTAGTAGTGTATATATAATCACACTTTAATTAGAAGGTGTGATTAAAAAATATATAAATAATCACACTTTAATTAGAATGTGTAGTTAAAAAATATCTATATAATCACACCTATTTAAAAAGTGTGATTAAAAAGTAGTAGTGTATATATAATCACACTTTAATTAGAAGGTATGATTAAAAAATATATAAATAATCACACTTTAATTAGAATGTGTGGTTAAAAAATATCTATATAATCACACCTATTTAAAAACTGTGATTAAAAAGTAGTAGTGTAAGTGTGATTAAAAAATATATAAATAATCACACTTTAATTAGAATGTGTGATTAAAAAATATATATATAATTACACTTGTTTAAAAAGTGTGATTAAAAAGTAATAGTGTATATATAATCACACTTTAATTAGAAGGTGTGATTAAAAAAATATATATATAATCACACTTAATTGAAAAGTGACATAAAAAATAAACATTATCACACTCAATCAAATTAAGTGTGATTAAAATAGCAATCTAATTTTTTTTATCACACTTCTAATAAAAGTGAGATCTTTTTTTTTGTCAAAGTGTGATCTTTAACTATTTTTGTAGTAGTGAGATGATTTCGAAAATTATATGGATCTTGCAAAAATATATATATAACTCTAAGAAAATCCCTACCTCAAGTTTTGAAGAAGAAATGAGATGAAACCCCCAAAATCAACGGTGTCAAAACTCGATCTTCACCGCACACAACGAAGCCCTCTAGATGATAACCAACTTTGGTGAAGAACTTAGGTCTAAATCCCAATGGATTTGGAGAAATTAAATAGAGAAGATGATTTCTAGAGAGAGAAGCTGGAGAGTTTTAGAGAGAGAGAGGACTGAAAGAGTGATCTGAAATATCATATTCACGAACTGATATAACATGGTCTGCTCGAGCGTGGAATGCCCTGGTCGAGCATCAAATACACTAACCCAGTACTTTTGCAGACATGTCAAACTTTTGAAACCAAACATTCTTTGCTTGAGCGCATAAACGGTCGCTCGAGTGGACAAGCAACTTCGAATGCATTTTGCATTAGTTGGAGTGGCAAAACATGAAAGAAGGATCGAAACTGGGATCGCTACATATAGCATGTGTTACGAAACAGTAATAATGTAATAAAAGCTAAACAGATAATCATAAGTCCTAAAGGCTTACATCTTTCCAAGTCAAGGCTTGGGTACATCAAAAGTGAGTTTTAAGCTCGATACAAATAAAGCCCTTGGCTTGTACAAAAGTGAATACAAAAGAACAAAACTGAGCCTTCAGCTCCACAATCCTCCTAAGCTAAGTCCTTGGTAGAGGTATATCACCAGCACTTGAAAATGGTTTTCCCCAAATAGGGTGAGCCAAAACTCAGTAGAAATAATCTAACACAATATATGAATCTTAACAAAGATATAATGGTGAAATGTATATACAATGACTATGTCAAAATGGTTTACATTTCTTTTTCAAAATCATGCCATGCTCAAATTATATCACATTTCTCAAATCGTGTTCTTTACCATAGGAAACCAAGGGGAATTCTCAAACTGGTACATTCTTTCACGGATATTTCGTCCATGGGAAACCATTAAACGACACTTATGTAAACGTAGTTGATACAAACACTACTATTACTATTTTACGGATATTTCGTCCGTGGGAATCGACACCTATGTAGACACGCGTTTTTTGGGACTTTCACTGTGGATACACAGGCCAACTTAATTTAGCGATACATACCTCTTTTCAACATTCACCATTTTTTTTCAAAATCATATACATTTACAGTGTATTAAAGGAGAAACAAATATTCAATGCACATGAATGATAAATTAGTTTCAATCTACCTAATTCTCATGCAATTTTTACAACAATCATAACTATCCTCCACCGAAAGCCCAAAACATATATTTCTAAATAGATATAAAATATCCAATACAGATAAACTTTCCAAAGTTTAAGATGCGAGTGATAATACATATCTAACTCCACCATCCATACCAATATCCATCCAATTTCACATTTCCAACCTCAATTCCATTTATTTATACAAATAAGAATGTGGAACATTTAGGGCAAAACCTATTTTTTTCCAAAATCCAACCCAATGGTCAAAATCAGCAATTTGTTCACAACTTAACCGCATTTCCACTCCCACAACCATTTCTGTACAATCATTTGAAAACTCTTCTTTTGATTTCAAACCAAAACCCTAGGTTTGTTCAAAATCCTCTAAAACCACAAGATTGTTTATGAAAAACAAATAGTTAAGTTAAAAATCATAAAAGAGTGTAGAACATTCCTACTTCAAAGCTAGGAGACCGATGAGAGAGTGGAGAAACCTCAAGGAAGTTGAAATCCAACTTTATTTGGATGAAAACAAAGCTCTAAGTAGGGTGGGGAAATGGGTAGATCTTGGTGTATTTGTAGAGAGAGAGTAAGTTCTAGAGAGAGAAGGTCTCAACTTTAGGGTTTTGAAATGTTGAGAGAGAGAAAGAGATGAAAAAGTAATGTAAAAAGTGACTTTTACGAACATATCCGCTTTAGTGTAAGAAGTGACACTCGAGCGTGCAGACACAATAAGTTGTTTCGCTCGAGCACAAGAAGTGACGCTTAAGCGTAGATCACACACTCCTAGTAGTTTTGCAGACAACAGACCAACACTCGAGCTCAAGAAAGGCTACTCGAGTCGAGACCGCTCATGTGCAGAAATCAACGCTCGAGCCTAGAATACACTTATTCAATAGTTTTGTAGACCTATAAAAGTACTGAGAATTCACAAATCCCGCTTGAGCTCAAGAAGTAACGCTCAAGCGAAGAAGTAAAATTCTGGACAACAAAAGTTTGAAAACCAAGCTACCATCCTATTCCAAACGCAATCAATACAGCCCAATAGCCATACTCAAGGAAGTATAAGGGAAGTAAGACATGAACAACAATACGAAACCATAAAACCCGAGTCCAGAATACCAAATGGGTCGGGTTTTAATCAGAATCGTTATAGTTAGATTTAGTTTCCATTAAATTCTATTGAAAATAAGTCCTAATAAAATTGTCGCTAAAAATAATTTTTTGTGATAATTTTTTATTTGTCACTAAAAATTGATAATTAATAAATTTTTTTGTCATAATTTTTATAAATTATCCTTAAAAATTATAATTAGTGATATTTTTCAGTGATAAATTTTCAAAGTATTGTTAAAAATTAAAAATTAGTGCCAATTTTTTTGATGATTTTTTTAAATTATCACAAAAATTTATAATTAATGGCATTTTTTATGATAAAATTTTTAAATTGTCGAAAATTAACAATTAATAATATTTTTTAATAATATTTAATGAAAAACATGATTAATTTTTATAAGATCTCTTCAATAATAAATTTATGGGTAAATTACAAACACACCTCTGAGATTTATTTAAATTACAAATTACTCTCTGTGGTTTTAAAAATTACATTATACCCCCTAAAGTTTTTAATTTCATAACAAATAGGTCATTTTATTAATAAATCATCAAGTTAATTAACAGTTTTTAATAATGTTAAAATTTTATTTTAATTAATAATTCAGATAATTTTATTATTGTATAAGTGAATGGTTAAAAATTTACTTTTTTAATTAATTCTTTTAAATAAAAAATTATGACAAGAAAGTATTTATAATTTTTCAAACTATAAAAGACAATTCATAATTAAAATAAATCTCAAAAGATGAATTTATAATTTATCCTAAATTTATCTATTAGTAAATTTTTTTTTTTTTTGTTTTTTCTCCGCCACTATCAAGCAATTTCCACAATTATTGGAAATTATTAATATGCGTATTGTATTCGTTCATATCTTGTATTTTCTGACGCGAATCCACTCGAAAGTTTACAAGCGACGGACTCTTTTTTTAGGTACGGCTCCGAATTCATAGTTGGGCAACAAGCCATCTCATCTCATCTCATCTCCACAACAACAATGGCGAATCCAACCACTAGTGATTCAAGGAAAGGGTCCGTTACTCACGTCATCTTCGACATGGACGGCCTTTTACTTGGTATTATTCCATTACCCAATTTTTTTTTTTTGCTTTAGAAATTCTAATGCTCAAAACTTTGTTGTGTGCGTGTATTGTCGGTAGTTTCAAATGATGAACATGCGGATTAGCAAAAACATATATCCTTATGGAATATACTAATGATCGCTCAATGGGTGGTCAATAGCCTCGATATATGTGTATTTTGGGAGGTTGGGGGCAGATGCCTTTGAATCCTTTGGCTGACCGGAAAGGTTATTTTTCTTCTATTTTAAGCAGTCTGCATTCTTCCCTTAAAACTTTGGTCCACTTGTGAAATCCTACAAGTTCAGCTTACTACCAATGCAGTCATAGAATACAGAATTTGTTTAAATTCTTTTTATAAATAAAAATAATATCAGAATTAGAACCCCCTGTTACGAATATACACACCTAGAATCTCTTTGTCCTCTGCATAAACCCAACTAACTTTAGTTTTCCTAACCCCAACCCTAAACCATGTTAATTGATTTTAGACTTCTTCTCTCTCTCTCTCTCTCTCACACACACACACACACACACACACACATTATACATGTCTGTATTATCCTAGAGCATATTTGTATTAGGATTCATGTTCACGCGGGATTTGTCAAGGATTTGTACGTTTTAGTTGTCAGGCTACCTAACACACAATCCTCATCCTTTACCCGTGCTTGGGACTAGCTGTATAAAATATTTAGACACTAAAGCTATGTTTGTTTGGGTGGACATGAGCTTGTGATTGGACTAATAGTTCAATAAAATTATTAATCCGATATTTGGTTAAACAATTGAAGTACGGACTAATTATTTTAAACTTGACTATTAGTTAAGATAGGATACATAATCCAACGGATTCGTAGTCCTAGGACTATTAGTCATGGGAATACTAATCCAGTCCGCCCAAACAAACATGACATAAGTATATTGGCTCAAGTGCAGGAGTGCGTCTGGCATATTGTGTGATCAACAAATACTAATAAAATTGAAAGGAAAATGTTATAGAACTATAAGGCCAACAATGCTCTAAGGGAGAGAGTGTTGTGCAACTAAGAAACAACATGTCCACGCGATGAGTGTAGCAGAGATGAGAATGTTTAGATGGATGTATGATAGGATTAGAATAGACAAAATTAGAAATGAATATATTTGTGATGGTAGGAGGAGCACCTATTGAAGATAAATTAAGAGAGAATAGGCTAAGATGGTTTGGTCATGTACAACAGTAAGGAAGAGTGATAGGATCATCATAAGCAGAGATGCTAGAGGAAGGGGAAGACCTAAGTTGACATAGGATGCATTAGTGAAAAAAGATATGAATTTATTTAATTTAAATCAGCATATAGCCCTTGATAGAATTGAATGGCAAAAAGGATTTATGTGATCGACCTCACTTGATTGGGACACAAGGCATAGTTTGATTTGGTTTGGTTATATTATCCTAGGGCATTTCCGTGACGGTGATATATGCATCATTTCCAATAACTCTATATCACTACGGCCTTTTGAATATTCTACCGTCTTCATCTTTGTTAATTTTATCTTTGTTTGTTTTTTAGTCTTTGCTTTTTCATTGAAGATTCCAGTTGCTTAATTGCTAGGTTGCAGGCTAATACATTAATCAAAAGTTCAAGAAAATTAAAATCTGATGCTGACTTTAATTTCTGCAGACACAGAGAAATTCTATACTGAAGTCCAGGAGATAATACTTGCAAGATACAATAAAACTTTTGATTGGTCTCTCAAGGCAAAAATGATGGGGAAGAAAGCAATAGAAGCTGCTTATGTCTTTGTTGAAGAGACTGGAATCAGCGATTCCCTTACAGCTGAGGATTTTCTTACAGAAAGAGAGGATATGTTGCGGAGCTTGTTTCCAACAAGTGAGCTAATGCCAGGTATTATTTATTTGAAGCAATAAATCCTTTATTTATTATTATTTTTTATAATAGATTTGTGGATAAATGATGGTGAGCTGGCTGAGGACTGAGGAATGCCGCCGTCTAGGAAGATGGTAGTCCTTAAGATGATTGGGGACCACTAGAGGTGGTAGAGGAGAGAGCCAAGGGCAGCCTTAGCAGAGAGGGTGGCAGTGGTTCAAAAAACTGGCTGGTTCGTACCCGATTTTGGCCTCTAGTTTGGATACACCCTGGTTTACTGATAGATGTGGTCAAACCAACCCATTCGCAACACATACCAGCTTGAACCTGTTAAATTTCTGATTCATTAGTGAACTGAACAGGTTCAGAAAAATATCGACCTTTATTATTATTATTTTTTTGAAACAAAAATTTAATGGTTTAGGCTGCTTAAGGAGATGGCCATTCAAAAGCCCATCCATTACATTATTAAATAGCACACGGTTAAATTTTATAGAGTAACTGATGGAAGAAAGAAAGCTTTCCAGGCAATGTGGGATAGCTAATGCATATCTAAAAATGAAGGCAACTGCTTGCGGTCTTATATAGCATGGAAAAAAAATAAGGGACTATACTCAACCGATGTGGGATAGTCACTTTACTTGAAAACTTTGATTTCTTTCCCATTCATCAAATTCTAGTGAGGTACTTGTTGCCCCATCTCTATTCACCTTCTTTTCAAATTTTTTTTTTTTTTTTTTTTTTGTATGTAAGTAATCTATTTTAAACAAAAAGATAAGGAATATTTTTAATATCTAAATGCATAGATATATTTTCCATGTAAATTACAAATTATGACTGAACCTTTACGATTCATGATTCAAAAGAAAGGCAATCTCGATTCACGATTTGACAACTATAATATAAATATTTACATGTAAGTGTGTACATATTTATGAATGTGAGAATTAAGTATAAATTATAGATATTTTAAAATATACGTGTAGTTGAACTAATTTAATTAACAAAAGAAATGTATAGTTAAATAAACTTATGTTGCAATCTATTTATTTAAATTTTAATTGAAGGAATCCTTGCAATATCACTTGGCTTATCCTAACATTAAAGCGTCCTCTTTATAAGAGAAAAAACATTGGTTCAATATTTATCCCTTCATGGTTCTGTTTACGTTTTGTTTCTCAGCAACCATGATATATATGGTGCTCGCTAGACACCAGCTACCCACATGGACAGACATGGTTCTCAAGTGTCTATCATAAGCCGTAGTCATTCGCCAGTGTGTGGAATATTATTATTTGACGAATGCATGAATCCGATTTTGAGGATATTATTATTTGGAAGAGTTTGAAGAGCCTTCCCATAAATGAAAAAAAAACTGATGTTTGATAAGAAAGATTAGTTGTCTATGAAAATATCTAGTCAAAAAAAATTTGATTGAAAATATAAAGAAATTATTCATTAAAATACATGTATAGTATGTGAGTAGATTGAAAGCTTATTGATTGAATCAGGATTATTAAGAGGTAATATCTTAAGCTATTCATTTTTTAGAATTCTCAGGCTAATCATTGAATGTACATTTTTTCTTGTTTAAGTTATTGTTATTGTTGTTATTGTTACTATTATCACAAGTATTATTGTTTTGCTTCTAGGGGCAAGCCGTTTGATTAGACACCTCCATGCGAATGGAATACCAATTTGTTTGGCGACAGGGTAATCTATTCTTTTGATTTCTCATTTTGTTTCGGAAATTGACACTCCCTTTGTGAGAGGCATGTTGACCAAAAAAAAAAAAACAAAAAAAACAAAACAAAAAAAAAATTGGAAATAAGAAGAAGAAGAAGAAGAAAGTGATAGGCTAAAAGGGGAGTGTAAATATGATTTTCCTTTTGTTTTTTCAAGTATTGAGATTTGAAGGACATAATTATAAATCCAGTTCAAGTATGAAATGCAAAGAATGTCACATCCATTACTAATCTGAAGATGATTTATCTTCCAGTTCTCATAGACGGCACTTTGAATTGAAAACACAAAGACATGGTGAACTTTTTTCGCTGATGCATCATGTCGTTCTTGGTGATGATCCAGAAGTAAAACAAGGCAAGCCATCACCTGATATATTCTTGGCAGCAGCCAAAAGATTTGAGGTATTATTGCATGATGAGTCCTTTTCTAATTTGTTAAGTTGACGATTCTTCTGGAATCTGTCATATTATCTTTTTTAGTTCTGTTCATAGCCTGTTCATAGCTTCTTTCCCAACAAGACTTTTATAAATTGATGTAACTGGATAATGAAATTTTTTGGCTAACAGGGTGGCCCAATAGACCCTCAAAATATTATTGTTTTTGAAGATGCACCATCAGGAGTTTGTGCAGCTAAGAGCGCTGGGATGTAAGTGATTTTATTTAAATAATTATTTTTCGTATTTGTAAATTATTTATAATTTATTGGCTATACTCTTAATTTCAAAGCTTCATGTACTGATTCACGTGTTTATAGTTATGTAAAATCAGAAGAACTCGTTGACAAAGGAAAAATCAGTTGAATACTTGTTATTGTAACCACTACAGTCTGCAATGTTCACTTACAAATTTCCTTTGTTTTTAAATTACTTTCTATTTTCCTGATTATATCTTGGATACATTCTTGCTTATGAATTCATTGCATTTTTTACTTGCATTGCACTGTTGCCCACATGTAACATGAATAAAGCAGCACCTTCCTCTGGTTGCCTGCACCACCTTTCATTTCTTATTTTATTTTTGTTAATTTTTATTTTGATGGGAACTAGGTCAAAGATATTTTTTGACATAGTTCATGCCTTCCCAACTCTTTTTTAGCCCTATTTTGTATCCAACTATGACTGTTGCGTAGTCTTTATTAGGAATTTTCTCTCAACATATCATTGCTGCTGGCTATGTGGGTTGTTGATTCTGATAAAAATGATATAAAGCGCCAAGTATTTCATGAAAAGAGGATAATCAAATAAGCAGTTAAGCATTAAAGTTAAGCCATTATAAACATAATCATTACATTTCACGAAAAGCCATTTAATTAACGATTTGGCACATTGTGTTTTGGAATGACATCAGGGTGTAGTCATGTCTTAAAGTCTCCCCTGTTCATGGGGACAAGGAATTAGACCTAGACAATAAAAGGTGAAACAGACCAGTTCTGGTGTGTGCTGGCACTACTAGACATCCGCTTTGTCCACTGGATGTCGGATGTTTAGTTATAGAGTGGTGTTACCTGAACATCGGACTGGACTTGCAGTCTCAATGTCTAGCTGTCATGATTTCTGGATTTTCAGAATTCTATAATTAAGCTTAATTTTTCCAGTTGTGGCTCATAATTCAAAACTCAACACCTATGGCTTGGATTCCTAAGGTCATATTGCAGATGAATTGTCTACACATATAATTTCTGAAGGCTCAAATTTTAGGCCCATTACAAGTGAGTGTCCCTACTCGAATCCATGGTGGCCGCGAAGTTTAAGAAGATGAAGATGAGATGAGTGATAAATTAAGAGAGAGACCAGCTCGAATACTAAACTCAAAGCAAGAGATTGGCAAGAATTCCATCCAATGCAAGCCTTTCCTTCTTGAAGCTCCCACTCCACTTTTCTCTTACAACTTAGAGTTAATGTGTAAAATGAGCTCATTCCCATACCATATGCACATTGAGGAGTGAAGTGTGCCATACTCAAGTAGCCACCTAGAACCTCTAGGTGAGGTGTCATGCTTAGTGTTAATCCACTCATTAAATGACTGAGGATGTGTTCATGTGTGTGTATAAATCACCTAATTAAGCTAAATAAACATGTTCCTACATATTGAAGGTTAATGCGATTTTTCTTTTACATTGTTTATGGTCAAACAAGTGTGGTCTTAACCAAACCATACCAAACTAAGCCTTGCATCCCAATTAAGTGGGGTCGGCTACATGAGTACTTTTTCGCCATTTAGCTCTATCAAGGGCTATATGTTCAGTTAAATTAAACAAAATTTACTTTTTTTTAACTACCGCATCTCATTTGAACTTAGGTCTTCCCCTTCTTGTAGCATCTCCATTTATGTGATCCTATCACTCTTCTTTACCATTGCATCTATAGGTCTTCATTGTACATCAGCATACCATCTTAACCTATTCCCTCTCAACTTATCTTTAAAATAGGTGCTACTCCAATCATTTCACGAATATATTTATTTCTAATTCTATATTTTCTAGTCTTACTACATATCCATCTAAGCATTCTCATCTCAGCTACACTCATGTCATGCACATGTTTCTTAGTTGCCAAATGCTCTGTCCCGTAAAGCATCACTGGCCTTATAGTAGTTCTATAAAATCTAAACGTGGTCTTAACTACCTGGCTAATTTCTAAATTCCTCTAAATTTATCTCAAGCACGTGGAAGTAATAATATGTAAATTCTGTCTTTGATCTAAATTCTCACATTATTTTACAAGTTGTACAATGCATCCTAGGAGCTTTATTGATCAATGGCCTATTAACATAATCTGGGATTAATATCTTTAAGTGATTTATTCACCGTATCACATCTTTATACTATTTATTTTATGTTCTTAACTTGAAATCTGACATTATTATGCTCTCCTATTTGATGAAACACTCATCATATTGCATTTACATAGAGTATGCTATTAGGGAGTTTTGTGGTGACACATTGTAACTCAACTCATCAAGCCTTTATTCCAGTTAATTGAGGTTGGCTACATGGATCCATTTTCTCCGCTTGATTCTATTCAAAGTTAATTTAAGTAAATTATATACTTATCACCTCATCCTGTGTTCTCCTTGGCCTTCCTCTATTACTTTTACCACCCTCCATGTGGATCAAATCACTCATCTTTACATGGGCATTTACTAGTCTATGTTTCACATGTCCATACCAACTTAAATGACTCTCTCATTTTATCTTCAGTTGGTGTCATTTCTAATTTCTTCTTTATGGATTCATTTCTTAGTTTATTTGCTGTTATATCATTACTCATCCATTTCAGCATTCTTATTTCAGTTACACTCATTATTTGAACATGCTTTTTCTTAACCATACGACATACAGTACCATACATTAAAGCATATCTTTTTTTGATAAATAAGAATACTTTATTGAAAGAGCATCAAGATGATGCAAAGAATACAAGAATGCAAAAGATCAAAAAAAAACTCAAACCCCTAACCAATAACATCATCCAAAAAGTCTAAAAAGCAAATAAATCTGGGTCCACCCTTTTCTCCAACCAACCATACAAAGTAACTAACAAACGATTCTCCAGCCATGACACATCATGAGAAATCTCTTGGAATGTACGGTGATTCCTCTCCAACCAAACCAGCCACATTAAGCAAAATGGCACCAACAACTACACCGGCCTCCGTCTACGCCCTGCCCTAGCTCCCTGCCAACTCCACAACATCTCCAACACCCCCCTAGGTTGCACCCAAACAATCCTAAATAGAGAACACATAAGACTCTAAAGCTGTGCCGCAACTAAACAATGAAGAAACAAATGATCCACTGACTCAGCAGTAACACAACACATGCAACACAGGTTGACTAAAACATGCCCCTGATAAACCAGTTTATCAATAGTAAGATTCTGTCCCAAGGCAGCCATCCATAAGAAGAAAACCACTTTGGATAGAACACCCAACACCCAAATGCTCCTCCAAGTAAAAACCCCTCCCACCTTCCTCACCAAACTCCGATAAAAGGACAAAACAGAGAATTGTCCTTTAGTACCCTAGACATTCCAAGCCACCACATCCTCCCCCCGACCCATAACATCCAATCCATACAGTAAGCTAAATAGCTCCCCCAACTGGTCAACCTCCCAATCCTGAACTTGACGCCGCAACTTAATGTCCCAAACCACCACATCCCCATCCCCCAAACAAGTAGCAACAGTGACCTCTCGGTCCAAAGCAATACCAAAAATCAAAGGGAAACGCTCCTCCAACACAACCTCCCCACATCACCTATCCTTCCAAAGTTGAACCTTCTCACCTCTCCCTACCCAAAAGTTCACCCTGTCCCAAAACTCCCCCCTCCCCAACCATATCTCCTTCCTCAAACCCTGACCATGAGAGCCAATCACATTGCTCGTCCTCCAATCTCCACCATCCACACCATATTTGGTAGCAATCACCCTTTGCCAAAGATGATCCCGCTCCCAATCAAACAGCCAAAACCACTTCCCTAACAATGCCCTATTACAATTCACCAAGCATATCTTATAACAGTCCTATAGGATTTGCCCTTCAATTAATAGGAATCCTACGATCACACAATACTCCTCTTACATTCCATTTCAACCATTCCACTTTAATTATGTGTGCCGCACTCTCTTCAATCTCTTCATATTTATGAATAGCTGATTTAAGATATTGAAAATGATCACTCTTAGGTATCTATTGTCTATCAAATTTTATTCTGTAAATGATCTATTATTGATTATGTTACGTCTTTTCTATATCGAGGAAAAAGTATACTTTTGATGGCCTTAAAGGTTTTACTAGCTGTTGTATCTTTCAAAGATTAGAGGACACTGAGTGACTATGTTTGTGTGCTATGGTGGTGGAAAAAACTGAAACATGCTTGGGTGACTTAAGCTGAAAGGCAACATTTTCAAATTGCAATAAAGGAGAAATACACAGATCATGTGGGTTGGGCCGGATTTAAATATCAAAACATTAATTAATATAGGCTAATTACCCCAATAAAAAACTATGAGTGACTAGTGTCAATTTAGACATGTTATCTACCCTTTTTTTTGGGTAAGTCATGTTATCCACTTCTAAGTCTATAATTATTTGAATATTACTCAATTTTCTTCGACCCATAAAGCTTCACAGTGATCCAATTAAAAAAAACTATAGGAACCCACATAAGAAATCAATCTCTTTTCTCTAGCAGAATTTCATTGTTTTAGCAGATTTTTTTTTTCCACACCAATCAAGAAGACTAAATTGTTTGTTTATTACAAGTTTTTGTTTTGTTTTTCAGCATGTACTTACTGAAGGAATTTTAGCATGAAGCCAAATTAATATTTTTAGGGGGGGAATTACATGTGGCATTACATATTGAAACGCAACAATTACACAAAGTGGACTTTCTAAAACTTTTAGGGCTGCCATTACTCTGTTACAAATTTTTTTGGAGGGTTGCACTCATATAGTCGTCCCCAACAATGATAAAACTGATTTCTTTACACTGGAGATACTTATACTGGGGAGTTGTAATTATTTGTTAACTAGGCTTAACTGTTCTGGAAATTTTCACTTGATCTGCTTGCGTGAGTCAACAAAATTTGAGTTTTCTACAGCTGATTGCCAACATAGTCTTCATTCACGTGAGGGAGAGCTTTCCCTATTGGGTTTTGATGTTTGCATGTGGTAGGGTCTTAATTTTTGTTGAGAACTATGTTAATGGAGAGTGGATTGTTCCGGTGCGTGAAACAAGAACGGAAATGTGGTACCCAACGTACTCTGAAATGGGGTATGATAGGAGCAGACTTGTTTCGATTAGACTGTTAAGAATTTAAGATACTGCTAGAGTAATTTTTTGTTAACAATTAGACATCCAATAAAATGTGTCATTTTCACCCCAAATTAATCGTGTAACAACACATTTCTATGAGCATTATGATTCATTTTTACATTTTATCCTATGAAAATTTCATTCATCTTAGATTTAGTTCTTTATAAATATATATTTTAAATCCAAGGAAACCTTTAAGAAATATATTGGAAAAAACTCTTGGGATCACTTTAGATTGCTAATTTTCCATTTTGGAACAGAAGCGTACCATATTTTGGAACGCGAGTTCCAAAATGTAATTCGCTACAGTATTAGTATTTTCTATAAACAGTGTTGGAATAATACTATGTTTCGGTAACTGCCATACATGTTGATAATTAAAACCACGCCTCCTGATTGACTGGATTTATTCTGCTAGATATTGGGTGCTAATTATTTCATTACATATGCCATGCAGGATAGCTGTTATGGTTCCAGATCCAAGGCTTGATAGCTCTTTCCATGGAGCTGCAGACCAGGTTTTGAGCTCCTTGTTGGATTTCAACCCTAGTGATTGGGGTTTGCCTCCATTTGAGAAGGTAGCAAGTTAGACTGGCATATCCATAAATATGGTATGTCAACTAGTTGCCACTATTGATTGCGGAGTAGGCTTAAACTGAACATGGAATTGATTTTTACTAGTGTACAACATCCTTGCATTATTGAAGTGTGGGTTAGGTTCATTATAATAGTTTCATGAATTGACCCTTTTTAATTTATTCTACTGTGGTTTAGTTGTCTTAATGTTTCTTTAAAGAAAACTATTCAGCTTTTGTTTGGAAAGATTGGCTATTTTTGCTCTTGATGATGATAGGTTAATCCTAGTATATCGGCGCTTTTGGAATAGCTACTGCACGGTAAAACAGTGCTTTTGACTTTTTGGAATGGAGCTTTTTGCACGGCATATAGAGTAATTTGGGATTTCTGTTACGCTGGGTTTGGTTGGAGGATTTGAGGAGAGATTTGAAAAGGGAAAGGGAAAGGAAAAAATTAGGTGAAATATGAATAAAATATACTTACATTTCACTTAGTTTCACACACTTTTTCTCTTTCTAAATCCCTTCTTAAATCCCTCAACCAAACACAGCATTAGGGAAAATAAAAAATAAATGGAAGTCGAATTTTTGCTCGAAAATTGAATATGAATAAAATATATTTACATTTCACCTAATTTCATATTTTTTCCCTTTCCCTTTCCAAATCCCTTCTTAAATCTCTTAACCAAATACAGCATTAGAGAAAAAAAAAAAAAAATGGCAGTCGAATTTTTGCTCGAAAATTGAGAATATTTTCCAGTGATGAAGGGATGAGAATGGGGCTAATGTTGCGTATATGCTGCCTTTCCCAGACTGTTTTAGTGGGATCTTGGGCACTGGGTCGTCTTTTTCAATGACATAAGCGAATGATTGGTTTTGATATCTACATGCAAGTAAGGAATTTGTATAATTTGAGAGGAAATATTATGATCTATTTTTAATGAAGCAGTAACGGGAATGGATCTTCCATTTGTGGGCCTTGCATCGTCTAGACCTAGGCCTCAAACTCACGTGGAGAAAATTGCCATCATGATTCATACAGTCAAGTTCTTGTTTTTGAATCTTTGCTGGCCTGAATATATTGCATAAACTATTTGTGAAATACATACACTTGAGATTTTTATTAATTTTTTTTTGCAGTGGTCATTATTATTAGGGCGAATTACATTAACGATTCATGTCGTTTGATACCTGTATCACTTTGATCTCTGATCGTTTAATTATGATACATTTGATCTTAAATTTTGAATCTCGTTTTAAATAAAGACAATTGCTTAATTTCAAGGGCAAAGTCGTCAATTTGATGAAATATAAACTAATTTGACAAAAATAAATGTCAAAAAATTATTTTTGAATTTTTAAAAATCATTTCTATCCATTAAGATAAAATTATATAAAAATGATAAATCTTTTACATGGTTATTTATTTTTTTACAAATTAATTTTTAGTATGTGTTTGGATGATGATAATGTAACGTGGGGTTATTTTTATTAATATTTTTGGATGGTTATCATATAATAGATGGTTGTATTTGTTAATAAATATTTTTTTGATGGTTAACATGTAATGAATGATTATTAGACTTTTAATGTGTAATCGATATGTTTAGTATATGAAATGTTTTTAGTTTCGGATGTTTTTGATTTAATGGATTGGTTTAATAATGATATCAAAGTTGTCGCGATGTTTGACTTTTGAAAAAATAGAAACTAATTTAACGAAAATAAATATCAAAACAAATTATTTATACCTTTCCAAAAGATAAAATTATATAAAAATGATGTGTTTTTAATTTTTTTTATCAATTTAATTTTTAGTTTCTTAGAAATTTTTTCCGAAAATAGATTCTAAAAATCGAATCAAATATAACTTTATAACTAAAAAAATTTCAACATTATTCATTAAAAAATGCCATTATAATTCAAATAACATACTAGTTAACGACACAAAATAAGTTATATGATGGCTTTGTTCTTGAAACATATTTGATTGTCCTTATTTGAAATAAGATTTAAAATTCAGAATTAAATATATCACAATTGAAAAGTTAAAAATCAAAATGATACAAATTTCAAATTACATGGATTGTTAATATAATTTACCCTTATTATTATTACGAGTCATTTTAAGCTCTAGGCGATATAAATAGACTAGAATTTGCGACTGCTGATCATTCACAGAAGGGATGGTAAGTAACTTGGATAAGTGTTATTCAATCCTCCCAGGGCATCACCTAGTCTCATGTATGGATCCGAGTAAACCTGTAAGTGGGTTCAGCTGTTAGGTCTTGCCACTCCGCCATAGGCGATCACTTATTGTAAAATAGTCACACGTCAATGGGTCTTTGTTAGTAATAATTTGGTTTGGATACAGTGAAGGGCTGTTTGGGACGAAAGAATATTGTAAAATCACACCTCACAATTGGCGTCGTCTGTGGAAATATTCAAATTCATCCACGGCAAACCCTGTGATTGATTCTCCTACTAATGAAATTGATATCATCGCAGCAGGAGAGTCCACTAACCCGGACATAAGTCCTATGATGGGCCTTGAATTTTGACCTGCTAACTCCACTTGTACCACCATCAGCTGTAGATCCCATGCAAACTCTGTTGGACTAGGTTAAACGCAATGAACAATGTTTTGAGGTCATGACAGTAGGAAATGAGCGTCTACACCAAGAATTGACAAAGTCTCAGAAGGCTTCACGCTATGAACGTGGCCAATCTCCAGTTAGAAGAGCATACCAGCACCATTCCCAAAGACATGGGAAAGGTAGTAGCTCCATGGGTTCATCACAAAGTGGACCCAGGAAGCGTAACAGAGTTAGTGACTCGAGTTCGTTTGATGAACACAACTCTTTGCGGGCATGACAAAGGGCGTGAAGACAAAAGGATGATGATTCCGGTTCGGAGGATAGGCACAATCTATTCGTTCGGCAGATAGCTAAGGCTGCCTTTCCTAAGAAGTTCAAGGCACCATCATTTACCTTGTACGATGGCAAATCGGATCCCACTGATCATGTACGTCGTTATAAGTAAGCGATGACGTTACATGCCGATGATGAAGCATTCATGTACCGCATCTTCCCGAGCAGTTTAGGCCCCTTGGCTGTCAAGTGGTATTATAAACTTAAACCAGTTTCTATTAGTCGTTTTCATCAGCTCCAAAAATCCTTCCGAGCTAGGTTCATCACTAATGAGATGCAACCCAAATAGGAAGACTCCCTGTGGGCAATGGAGATTGGCACCAATGAGAACCTAAGGGCGTACTTGGCACAGTACTAGGAGTGTTTCAATCTTGTTGATGATGATTGCAACGACTCCATGACCATTACTGCCTTCAAAATAGGACTCCACCTAGATAACCCATTTTTGAGTTCTTTGATTTGAAAATAGGCAAAGTTAGTTTGGGCTTTGATGAAGAAGGTAGAAGAGTACTGTAAGGTGGAGGATGATGCCCTCCAAACAAATGCATGTCTTCTAGTCTTGGAGTTGGCGGCACCAGTTGTGGCCCAACTACTAACAGTAGTACCCTCGACTAGGGAGACAACATCACCGCAGTGAAGCCCATAGTCGAGTAGCAAGTCAAGAAGGGATAACCGTTGAGGATCACGCCAACGCAATGAACAATACCAAGTGGATACTAGGAGTTCAGGATGGTCTGACAAAAAATATATGGAATTTATCGAGCCAATCAATTAAATCCTCTCACAAATCAAACACCGTACCTATTTCAAGTGGCCGATCAAAATGTCTGGGCCTTGTGACATGCGAAGAAGAGATCATAGGTGTGACTATCACCAAGACCACGACCACTTGACGAATAAATGCTATGCCTTGAAGGACCAAGACTAATTTTTTTTTTTGAAGAGCCAATTTTCCCAAAACTGCTAAATTTTATGGACAAGAAAAATGCAAAAAACTCTTTTGAATAGGTCTAAAATAATTTGACCAAAACGGGTGTAATGCTGGAATTAAAGCTTAAATCTGACTTTTCTGCTGAGAAATTAATAAAATAGCATATTTCAACTTTTCTTCATCAGATGATCAAAAGAAAGCCCCTAAGTCTTAAGGTTTGTCAAAATGGGGTGTCCACAGTGCTATTTTACAAATTTAAGCTTTAATTCCAACCTTACACCCCGTCTTGGACAAATTATTTTAGACCAATTCAAAAATATTTTTTATGAATTTTTACTTTTTCGAAAAATTTAGCAATTTTGAAAAATCGGCTCTCATACCACATGGCAAGCCATATGTTTTTGGAGATATTACATGGCAAGCCATGTGTTTTTGGACATCTCACATGGCTAGCCATGTGTTTTGGGCATTTTGGAAGTCTATAAATACAACCTTATTTTGTTGTTTGAAAAAAAGAAAAAAAGGAGGAAAAATTTTAAGAAAGAACATTTTGTTTCAAAAAGAGGAAGAAAATTTTGGCTAAGAGAATTTTTATTTCAAAAATCCTGAGAGAAAGGAATTGATTTTAAGTTATTTTGAGAGCAATGAGGCCTTTTCAACCATCCAAAATTCCATTAAAGTTAGAACTTGAAACATCTCGCTAAAAATTTCAAAATATACATCATAACCGTGAGGGTGTAAAGAAGAAAGTTTGTTAATCAGAAAATTCACCCTTTCATCCAAAGGTGAATTTTTGCAATCTTCTCATTTATTTTCTTATATTAAATATGTGATATTTAGGTTGTGGAAGTGGAACACTGAGCCTCTGTTTCTTAGATTTCTTCTTATTTATTTTATTGTATTTTCTTTATTAAATATGTGACGCCCCAAAAATAGAGAACATCAGATAATATATTAACAAATAAATACAGGGTCTATCTAAGGTTACAAGAGTAGGAAACATCAGTAACGAGTCCTTTAGCTAATAACCAAGCAAGATCCCAAGAAGGTTGAAGGAGTCATTATAGCCTCCCTTTTAAGTCCAACCACCTTAGATAGCAAAGCTAGATTTTTTATAGATCTTGACAAGGTATTAACACAATGCCTACATGAGTTGATGGAGTATAAGGATAGGTTACAAATGATATATATATATATATATATAATTACAAAGTTATGTCTTAAATACAACAAGCGATTAATCACTTACAATCTCAAAATGTGTTTACAAAACTAGTTCATAACTCTCATAGGATAGCCATATGTCTTCAAATACTTCCGCCTTGCAGTCTAATAGTCGTCAATACCTAGCATGAAACGCTGTGAGTTTTGAATGCCTAGTAAACG